TATGAGTGAGTGATGGTTGCATAAAAGCTGGAAAGAATGATGGGCGACGAATTTGTTGTTGTTGTTGTTGTTTTTTTGTTGTTTTTTTTTGGCAAATGAATGTCGGCGAGTGAACAGAAATGAAAGGAAAGGAAGAAGAAGAAAGAAAGAAAAACAGTTTTTCTTTATCGTCTCTGTATATAAGCGAGACCGTGTTAATTAGTAAGATTTGTATTACTAAACCATTATTATCTTTTAAAAAAATTCGCACAATCTAAAAAGAAAAATGTCTGACTTTAAAAACCTGCAAAAAGAAATTTTATAAGCCGTAGAAAACGAATCAATCAATCCTTTATATCTCTAAACTGCTATGATTTCTTACGAAATATGATAGTGTGATTTCCCATTACCGTTTTCACAACTTGAAAATCAGAGTTTCCATTCACTTAGACGAATTGCCACCCAAAGATGGAGGGGTCTGTCTACCCTGCCATTTAATTTATATTCTTCTATATCCGGTATTTTTTTAAAAATTATTTCACCCCAAGCAAGGTAATAATTACACTACGACGCAAAGAGTTAAAGCGAATAAGAAGACTTTAGTGAGGAGATGTCTGATATTATTCCTATTCTTTAGAATGTCGAGGATTAGTTTTCTTAAGTGACCCATTAAGTTGATTGTTCCATGAAATTCGCATCAAGAAAGTTCGCATTCATTAGTTTCTTTAGCAGCGTTATGAAAATTAATCTACTTAGAACCTCCAGTATCTCACCGGTTTTGTTTATTTCATTTCGCATTTAATAGACTTATCGTCCTCAACTCCATCGAAGTCTATCAATATATCTCTATGACAATTTTATCTGTTCCTTCTATTTAGTGCCTCTTCATTTAATCCATTGCTGTTTCTACTTCAGATTTTAGTCTTCTTCCATGCTTGTATATATTGTAAGTTTTTCTTTCCTATTATTCTTAAATGTATTCATTCTACCGTTGCTGTCTCTGCTGTTTTCTATAATAATAGTTCACTCTTAGGTTTTGTAGATTCAGGTAAATAGCCTATATTCAATCCTGTTATTTATTCTGTCTTTTAACGTATGCCAGCTTCATTTGCATTCTTTTAATAATTTCCGTTTTGCTTGTTTGCCCATCTCTCTTCCAGAATTGATTAGGTTTATATACACTACGCTATTTCGAGATATTATCTGCAGCAGGGGTGTCGTAAAGGTCCCCAGTACCAACAAGTAAGGAGACTTTTGGCATCTGATTGATGAACTTTCGTCGATGGTACCTAGACTTTATGAATTTAAGCGCAGTACTAGATTGGCGACAAGGTCTCATCATTTTATAGTTTAAATGTCTAATTTTAACTGTAAGTTCTATGCTAACAGTTTCTTCTCTCGCACTTATCATTTATGGAGCCCACTTCCGGCTTCTTCCTTCCCAGTCAAATTTGATCTTCAAAAATTTAAATGCAATGTCACTCACTATCTGTCTGTATTTCTTAGATGAGGTATTATGTACACTATTTACATTATTCGGACTATTGTCCTCGTCTTTGCCGCCATATTTGTTACAACGTTTCGGCTGTTGTACGCTCCGGCCTTCTTCAGGTGGTTGGAATGTCGAACTGAACCCTTTATTTCGCTCACTGGGGTAGACTTCTAGTTCCACGTGCCATGTTTAATGGATGTCAATTATCAGTTATCTCCTGTTAATTTCCCTCTGAAAGTTCTCCACTGCCTTAACCGGGTACTGAACTCACACTCTTTGGGTCCCCTCACTGGATCTAACCAGTGCCTTTATCCACTCTGCCATGTGTTCTTGAAAATGTCAATCGATATCTTCTGTCTTCTTAATTCCTATATTTTATTGTCTTTTCTCATTAATAATATTTTTTTTTTTACATTTTTAACACTCAGTAACCTCTTGCATTATAGTGGCTTTATTGCCTTGCTTGGGGTGAAATGATTAAATAAAATAGTGAACCAACAAACAAAACACAATGAGTAAAAACACAAAATAGTAAAATACCAGTAACACATTTTTATATAAAAAAAGAACTAACAATACATAATTAAAGCAAAATGACCAACAATACAATTTTAAAGCTAAATGACCAACAATACATTTTTAAAACAAAATGACCAACAATACAATTTTAAAGGAAAATGACCAGCAATACATTTTTAAAGCAAAATGACCAACAATACAATTTTAAAGCAAAATGACCAACAATACATTTTTAAAGCAAAATGACCAACAATACAATTTTAAAGCAAAATGACCAACAATACAATTTTAAAGCTAAATGACCAACAATACATTTTTAAAACAAAATGACCAACAATACAATTTTAAAGCAAAATGACCAGCAATACATTTTTAAAGCAAAATGACCAACAATACATTTTTAAAGCAAAATAACCAGCAATACATTTTTAAAGCAAAATGACCAACAATACATTTTTAAAGCAAAATGACCAGCAATACATTTTTAAAGCAAAATGACCAACAATACATTTTTAAAGCAAAATGACCAGCAATACATTTTTAAAGCAAAATGACCAGCAATACATTTTTAAAGCAAAATGACCAACAATACAATTTTAAAGCAAAATACCAGCAATACATTTTATCTGTAGTCAAAGGCATACAACTGCGTTAAACTACCTTTAGTTGAAGCCACAAAATTGTGTTCAATTATTTAGATTTCGGCATTTAAAAAACCCACAGAGATGTTGATATGCCGCTAATTTGCAATTAATTTTTATATTTGCGTTCATGAGCGCGTGGCTAGAATGAGACCCAAGTTCGAATCTCATCATGACTTACTGACTTGGCTTTCGACATGCGGGACCTAAGGAAAGTGCCTGATAACCATACCACGGGTTGACCAATGTGTTGGGCAGTTTATTTGAGCTCGGAACTTGTTCAAGAAATTGATTACGCCAAATTATGATCTCCCTCCCAGAAACTATAGTTGCAGTATAAACATCAGAGCAAGCGTCTTCAATAGGTTTTGGCTAGAGACCCTGGCAGATGGCTGTGTTCGGTAACAAGCAGTAATCAGCCATTATAGTTATATTGAAAGAAAGAAGGACAAAGGGAAAGAGCGAGTTACTTATCTAATGAGTTTGGATGAATGGAAGGCAGGGGATTAGGAGTAAAATGAATGGTAAAGAGTCAAATGTTACTTTGAGCAACAAGAATCAATAAAATTGTGGAGAGCCATGGTCGCAAGCTTCCGGAAGGGATACCACATATAAAGGATAAAGGCCCTAATATATGAGACTTTCGTTTTTTTGGTTGTTTTTTTTTTCTACAAATGAATTAGTTGTCAAAATCTAAAGCATTAATGACGTCTCTTTCATTACTTGATATTGTCAAGTTGCTTCGTTCTTGAGGCAATCAGGTAAATACTTACTTCAATTATTTGAAGGATCTTTCAAAGTTGGGAACAGAAATCACTATTTTTAACAAAATCTGCCAGGCAATTCTTCAATTTTGGAAACTTTTTCAACACATGAAATTATAAACATTAATGAATCAGTTGCGACCATTGTTTCAGAAAAATCGCTCTGTATTTAACATTTACAGGCTTATTGTGGCTACCCAGTGGGTGTTCGATAAATGCCTGGGTTATTATTATGACGGAAATAGACTTCCAAAGGAGAAGAGAATTTGTATCTAGCATCAATCTTTTGCAAAGTGTTTTCATTTATTTTCTTGTTGTTCGTAACCACGCAGGTGGGCGTTTTCAAATTCCGTTGTATATGATAGATTTATGTATATTTCCGTGGTATATGATAAATAGATTTTAGCGCTTTATATCTAATATATATATATATATATATATATATATATATATATATATATATATATATATATTGTATATTTGGGCTGCAATCTCTCTTTCATAAAAGGTTTCATTAAACACGACTAACAAGGTACTGCGATTAAGCTATTTTATTTAATTTTTTTTTTTTTGTGATCTCTTTTTCCGGACATAGAAAAAAGTGTGTAAAAACTGCCCGGCTATTATCAACGTTGTTTTTTTTTGTTTTTTGTTTTTTTTGTTTTTTAACTGAATGTGTAGATTTTATATATGTTTCTAATGTGGTGGGAATGTTTTTTGTTTTTTTTTTCCAAAAAAGTGCAAGATATGAACTGTGTTTGTAAGAATTATTTTTGAGGATTTCCAGGGGATTTTGTTGATTTATTCTTGAGTTCCTTTCTTTATCAGACCTAAAGCTCCATCCACAACAGGAACAGATTTAGTTTTTAAGTGCCCCATTTTTTTCTGTTAACATCTCCAGATGCCCATCTTTTTCTTCTTCTTCTTCTTCTTCTTCTTCTTATTATTATTATTATTATTATTATTATTATTACTATCCGAGTGCTAATTTAGTAAGATAATATGTATATTTATGCGTGCTTTTGTTGTGTACGTATCTCTAATATCCTGCGAAAAAACATGCTAGAACTTGTTCGAACGCACACAGAGACACAAAGACGCACCCACACACACAAAGATAGATAGATAGATAGATAGATAGATAGATAGATAGATAGATAGATAGATAGATATGCTTAGACTAAAAATCTTTGGCCGTCTATTGATATACTGAGTTAAACTTTGGCTGTACTTTATATTTAGGCATGTGCGTGTGTGTGTATGTGCGTGTGTGTGTATGTGCGTGTGTGCGTACGAGTGCGTGTGCGTGTATGGACAGAAATAGAGAGAGAAAGAGTACAGTGTGAGACAGGTTTCTCGTACATGCACTATGTCTGTGTGCAAACATGTTCGATAAACGTATGGGATCTTAAGAGAAACCTTGAGACAAGTACGCGCGAACTCCCAGAAAGCTAGGCCATGTGCGCTTTCTGAAAACTAAAACTTTTGGTCATTTGCGCTTTGAGATTTCGACAATTACAGACTGAAATCACAATACGCACAATGTAACAAAAGTAAGTAAAAGCAGACTGGCAAAAAGTTGCCATTACGGTTTTAGACTCGCTTATGAAAATTACTTCTCATCTTTTTCTCTATTCTTCTTTGTTTCTGTCTATTTCACTTTCTTTTGTACGCCATCTTTCTTTCTTCGTTTTCTTTCTTTATTTATTTATTTCTCTCTTTCTTTCTAGCTTTCTTTCATTCTTTCTTTCTTTCTTTCTTTCTTTCTTTGTTTTCGTCCTTTCTTTCTCTTTGCCTACTTTCTTTAATATTCTTTCTTCAATATTTATTATCTTTCTTCTTTTTTCTTTCTTTCTTTTTCTTTATTTCTTTCTTTCTTCATTACGTTTTCATCCTTCTTCCATCCTTCCGTCTTTTCTCTTTTTTATTTTCATTTTTTCATTTTTTTCTTTCTTTTTTTCTTTCTTTCTATTAACTTTCTTTCTTTCTTGTAGTTCAGTTTTTGTTCGTTCTTTCTCTTTTTCTTCTTTCGTTAATATTCTTTCTTCAATATTGTTTTTTCTTTCTTTCTTCTTTTTCGTTCTTTCTTTTATTCTTTCTTTCTTCATTTCGTTTTCGTTTTCATTCTTCTTCGGTCCTCCCGCCTTCCTTTCTCTTTTATTTTCGTTTTTCTTTCTTTCTGTCTTTATTTCTTTCTTTTTGTTTTCGTCATTTCTTTCCCTTTTTTTCTTTTTTCTTTAATATTATTTCTACATTCTTTATTTTCTTTATTTCTTTCTTCTTTATCTCTATTTTCCATGCTTTTTTGACTTCATCTATTTCATTCTTTCGTTCTTTTTTCTTTATTTATCTAATTTGTCTATGTTTTTTTTTATTATTTCTTTTCTCCGTATACTTTGTTTGCTTCTTTCTTGCTTTGTTTCTTTATTTCTTTGTTTCTTTCTTTTATTTTCTTTCTTTCATCTAGTCGCTCTCTTTACGTTCTTTTCTCCATGTACTTTCTTTTCATTTTTTTTACGTCCTTCTTTTTTCTTTCTTTCTTTTCGTTTCTTTTCTTTCCTCTCACCGTCTATTTACTTTCATCTTTTTTACTTTTTCAATCTCGTCCATCCTTATTCACATTTTCTCTTATTCGTCTGCATCAATTTATCGATCATTTTCAAAGTTCTGACCCCAAAATAATTTCACTAAAAAATAAACGAATACTTTTTAAAACTTGATTAAATACCTTTCTTTCTTAATCTCTCAGAGGACTTACAGACAAAAACTTTCGGAATGCCCAGCATTTATTTAAAAAAAAAAAAACTTTAAAATGCGATATTTTTGTATTTTTAAAAGATAAAATTTCAGTAACAACCGTATTTGCTTTTATTCTGACAAAAGAATAAGCACTTAACTATAAAATAATTATATTATAACAGTATCATATTTTGTTTCCGTCAATAAAACTACCTTCTTCTTCTTCTTCTTCTTCTTCTTCTTCTATGTGATATGTCCCTTTGGAACGCTGGCGATCATGGCTCTCTACAATTTCTTATCCTTAGTAGCTTTTAACAACTTTTGTTTTTTTTTTCTCATTTCACCCAAAACTTGCTCCGCCATACATTCACCCAAGCTCAACAGGTAGGTTATGCGTTGCTTTCATGTCACTTTTACCTTTAATCTGTCATGTGAGTATCGAATTTCCAAGCTGTCTTTCTTCGTTATATGCCCCAGAAATTTCAGCTGTCTCTTCCTGATGTTAAGCAAAAGTGCCTCTTTAGTTGCCATTGTCTCTTGAACTTCGTCATTGCTCATATAATTGGTCCATTACATTCTCAGAATCTTTATTTCTGTTCCTTCAAGTCTCTTCTTTATTTATAAGGAGATTGTCCAGCATCCACTGACAAATAAAAAGACTGATATTACATAACAATCCCGTATTCGTTTCTCTACTTATTATAGGTGGGCATTCTCATTGAACTCTCCTATCCAATTCACCCCATACTAATTCGGTGGATGAGAGGTCAGGTGATTGAGGCTGCCAAAGTATAATTTCCAAATTGTTGGTCCATTTTTGTTACTCGGGGTAATTTTGAAATAATTTAAAAGTTGAAAGGCGATTTTTTTTCATGATTCCTTTGACCTGAATCAAATTCCCAGTTCTCGCACCTCCCAAATACCCAGACACTACAACAAACTGTTGGCACCACACATTTATCGTTCACTCTTTCTTCTAACATACACTCTCTTCTTAATACCAAAACGTTCCAATTTGAACGTTCAGCCACAATACATTTTGACACTTTCAATGTCCAGTGCTTATGTTTTTTTTTTGTTTTGTTTTTGTCCAAAACAGTCTTATCTGCTTATTCACCTTCCATAACAGTGTTTTCTTGATGGCTGTGTACCTCCTGAGGTTCACTGATCTAAATCAATTTTTCAGTTGAGAGCGACACTGCTTATTGTCGAGAGGAATTACGTTCAGCTGTCAACTCTGAAGCAGTTTACCATCTATTTGTTTTTCTCTCAATAATCAGGTGTTTATCTTCAGCAGCAGTTGTCACATTTGGTGCTCCAGATCTTTTCCTATGAACTTTCGTACAACTTTCTAACTGTCTTTGTAATGAATATTTCACTTCATGTCTAGAAATTTTCAACTTCTTGGAAATTTGTCTTTGAGAGAAACCTTCTTTAAATAACATTTCAATTTGTGTCCTCACCTCAATGCTAAGCTTCCTTGATCTTTCCATTTTGTTAGAATTACTTCAAACTTAAAAATAAATAAATAAAAACTATGAAAATATTGTCGTAACGGCACAACCTTTTTTTTTAAACATTTACAACATTAGCCAGTGCTGGGTTAACATTTAGAACCTGTATTAACTTATTTCAAAGTGTTAGTAATCTCAAAATGTCTACTGAAAACTTAATGATGAAAATAAAATATAATGTCCCCATACAAAATATTCATAATTTAGCAAAATGTATTGTGGACAGCCGAATGCAAATTTGAACTTTTTGGTAGTAAGTGGAGCCTTGAGGAAGACTAAAAAATAAAAGCTGTAGTTACTTAAATTTCAACTTTTACTTAAAATAAATGCAAAAATATCTCATTTTAAAGTCTTTTTAAAGCAATAGTCGGTGGTCCCAAACTTTTTGCATGTAGTGGATCTTCTTGATAAAGAGAAACAGCATATCGATGAAGCATTCCGTGTATATATATATATATATATATATATATATATATATATATATATATATATATAAAAAAGTGAACATAGAAGTCAACACTTAGAGGCGACAGTCTGTTTCATGCTAGATGAAATCGTCAGGCCACCTTTTATATATATATATATATATATATATATATATATATATATATATATGTATGTATGTATGTATGTATGTATGTATGTATGTATACAAAGGTAAAAAAAATAATGGAAGTGTTAACAATAAAAAAAGAAGCAAACTTTCAATATCAATTTCCATCTCTATATATACACATAAAAAACCTGCATATTCAGTTAAACTAAAAAAACGTTGATAATAGCTAATAGATTAGGCGAAAAAGATCATTTGCACACATTTACACAATCTACAAAAGAAGAAATCATTTAATAAAACATTTACTAAATAATTTAATCGCGGTGCCGTGTCAGTCGTCTTCAATAAAACTTGTAAAAGAGACATTACTGCCCAAATACACAATTATATATATATATATATATATATATATATATATATATATATATATATATATATATATATATATATATATTAATATAAAAAAGTTCTTTCAATTAATTCATGTTTACTTCGAAATTTCGTGGCTACATAGATGTAACCACTCATCAGAACAGAGTTAAACTGCTGATATTTCTGGATTATTTTGTACATTTATTGTGGTATGAGTGTGTTATTTTCTTTTTCGCTTGATGGCTACTGCTGCATTTGTTGTTGTCTTGCTGATTTATTTTGTTGTGGTTATTATGGTCTTTGCTGAGTAATTTTTTATTGTGTTTGGTTGTATAAAAGAGGTATTGCTGCCCAAATAAACAATTATATGTATATATATGTGTGTGTGTGTGTGTGTGTGTGTGTGTGTGTGTGTGTGTGCGCGCGCGTGTGTGTGTGTAGAGGAAAGATGAAATATGTATGATAAAGTAGAAAAAGTTTTCTTGTCTCACGTTTTCACATCGTCATCCATCGTTCCTGCAAAATTTTCTTGATATATAAAAATTTATATATCAATTCAATTAAATCATATATATATATATATATATATATGTATATATATATGTCTGAGAGAGAGAGAAAGGGAGAGAGAATGTATCGATTTCGTCTTGTATACACTGTGTCAGATTTTATTATGTATGTCTTCTCTGAGATCTTTTTTCTTTGAATATTGGTTTCCATTTTAATAAAGAACCTTTTCTAATGTTACATCGCGCATTTTTTCTGATGCATTAATATGTGGTCAGAAAGGTAATAGACAGCTTTGCACAATCGTCTGTCATGAATGCAGTCTTTCGCTTAAATCATCATTTTTGTAGCCTATACAATTACAAATATTTTACATTTCCTACCATAATCCTCTGCATTTCGTCAGCTAATTAAATGACTTTGCTTTTAAGTTGCTGCAATGATACATAAAGGTTGCATAAAGCTTTTTCCAAACCCCCTTAAAATGCACCGGAATCTTTAGCAGGCGTCGTTGTAAATACATTGCTTTGTAATGCTACTATTAACAGAAAATGGATAATAAACTCCACGAAGATATTAGAACGTGAATTCTTCATCTAAATTAGTTATTCCCAATTTTAAAGTATACGAAAAAAAATTACGTAACTTCCAAACATATTGTGTAGGTTATTTTCTCAGCGTAAGGTAAATGCGGCACAATGCCGAAAGTATGAAGCACCTAGCAAGGATTGAACTCACTTTTCATTCGTAACGGATCTAGCCAGACAAGCTTGCTAACCATTACACCACGCCGAGGTGCGCAATGATTTTCCAATCGTAGCTTAGATGTGGCACAAGACCGAAATTAAGGGGCACCTAATGAGGATCGAACTCACTACTCAGTCGTAATTGTTCTAGCGAGACAAGCTCCCTAACCATTACACCGTCTCGAGGTGCCCAAAATATATTGTTAAGGGAAGAAAAGGCATTCTGACGTTATTTGACCAATGCGGAATTTTTCAGCTACAGCACTTCGCAGACTTGGCATACCGTTGTATGAAAGTTGGGGAAAGAGGTCAGTTTGGAGTTAGGATAATAATCTATTGCAACAATGCCGCTCCACCCACCAACCAAAATACAACGTTGCAAAAGCGTCCTTGACACTCTCAGCAACTCTGAAAAGAAGTTATAACTTTACTACAAACTAGACGAGAGTATTACACCCCACTCCCTGTAGCTGTTGCTTCCTAAATCGTGTTTGGTCCATAAAAGGCCGGGAACAACAGTCACTCACGTTAACTAGGAGAACAAAAGAGACTAGATTAACCAGGGATGAGATGCGCTAGGAATCCGTCTCAATGTGATTTGAGGAGACGAAAAAAAAAAGGAAATCAAGATTGGCTCGATTCACGCGAACCAAACTCGCAACTCGCACCCACCTTTTGTTGAAATCTGCCGAATCCAACCGCTTTCTCTCAGTTCTAATCTTCATCCTCAGCTGATACCCAAAGCAACCAATCCTGATGAGAATAGTGTTCGTTTCGTAAAATTCCTTCGGTTTGTGTTACCCACAC